GGAACTAGAAGAAGACAAAATTCCTTTAAATATGAACACTACGAAAAGAAGTAACAAGCTCTTAAAGCTTTGCATAGGTATGTACATGTTTCATTAAAATCTCTTATTTTGCATAACAATAGTGATCCTTTGATACAGAAATTAGTAATATTAATATAATAATTAATAACAAGCAATTATATTACTTACTATTACTATTATAATAACACATTATAATAATTAATAATAAATAACATAATTGTAAACTTTCTACATATGATATATTACAGAAACTTTATACACACTATATTACAGAAAAACACGAAACATTTATTTACGAGCACTATTAGACTGCACAGCAGTCATATGCGCATCTAAGGCGGACATTTGTCATATAGATTATAGTAAGTGAATTGCATGTATAATAGAATGAAATCTACGTAAAGTCAAAAAACAAAACACAATGTAAAAATTAATAGAAATAAATATTTTTCAAATTCTATGACGACAATATTCCTATTCTTCTCGGCGGAAAACAGTTTTTTGAATTTACAAAATGGAAACACTTAAGCATATTCGAAGTATTATGTGGCATGCAGTAGTCGTAAAATTCAAGGACGTTTCATAATCAGTTAAGCAAAAAGATGACGAAAATTTGTTAGAACTGGAGAATAAAGGTCTCCGTCAATAAAGCAATTTAAACTGACTATGCAACGAATAAAAGAATTATTGAACATTTTTAGATAGTCACAATTAAAAAAAGATTTTGTAAAAATGAAATAATTTTATACTGGTAAAGCAAAAAATTAAAACAGTTGAGAAAAACAAATGATTAGAAAATTTATATCTACAGTTTCTTATATTGAAATAACTGTTACTTATATTGCAATTGTTGAGCTATGAGAGTATAAATTAGTTGGGAGATTTAGAGTTATGACAGGAGATTAAGGGAATAGGAAACTAAATTATTGCATTAAACTTCCGAACATTTTCAGAAATTCTTTCAGGTCTACATGCAAAATGTGGACTTCAAATAAATAAAATAAAAATGAGTTATAAATATGAAAAGTAATAATTGAGAGGAAAAAGAAAGGAATATATAAAACAGAGAAAAATATGAGAACACCGAAATAAATAACTCTTGCTGATAATTGCCTTGTAATAATTTCAGTAATAATTAAATAATTTAGTAATCATTCAGAAAGAGGAATAAATATGAAAAAGTAGTAAAGGGGAAGAAGAAGCGAAGAATATATAGAAAAGAGAAAAAATATGAGAATATCGAAATAAATAATTCTTGCTAATAACTGAGCTGTAATAATTTCAGTAATAATTAAAAAAGAATAACAAATATGAAAAGATGCAAAAGTAATAAAGGGGAAGGGGAAGAAAAGAATTCATGAAAAGGAGGAAAATATAAGAATATTGAAATAAGCCATTCTTGCTGATAATTGCATTGTAATAATTTCAGTAATATTTCAGTAGATTTAAATAATTCAGCAATAAATAAGAAAAGATTAAAAAGTAAAAGGGGAAGAAGAAGAAAAGAATATGTAAAAAGGAGAAAAAGTATGAGAATATCGAAATAAATAATTTTTTCTAATAATTGCAATGTAATAATTTCAGTGTTCTTCATATAGAATCCAAATGCTCACGGGTAAATTACTATAAAACCAAAACTAGCTTGTTGCAGCCTAGATGATTGTTTTCTGTTGCAATTTATATTATGCTATCAGATATAAAGTGAAAGCGGAGGCATAATCACGAAAATTCACGTAAAAGGTTAAACAGTGAGGTCTCCTATTTTTGAACCTACTAGAAAGTTTCCACTTGTACATGATATTTAATACACTGCAATAATGGCAAAGACGCATATTCTTCCAACGCTAAATCTATGCTTCAATTCAAATGCCAGTTTTCTAATTGAAGAAATTAGGAAATCTAATTATCTGAAATACTAGATCCAGTTTCGCATCAAACAACGCAATGTATTTTTTGTGTAAATTATGACTTATACAGCAAATGAATTTAATCTCGCACGCCTGTCTTCTGCAGAATATCCATTCTATAATCATGTATTTACCAAACAGTGTCCCTCAATTTCCTTGAGGTATAATTTTGGTAAAATTATTTTTTTTTTAACTGAAAATTTTATATTCTCACAAAAATTCATGAAATCTAAGAAATTTTTAATCGTGTTTATTTTGATTACTTTTGAAATGTGATTACTTAAAATTTATTTACAGCATGGAATTCTATGTAGTAGTTAATTTGCTTTTGAGTTGCATTACTTCTATACCAACGTTCTTTCATCAAATGGATAATCAAAATTACTACTTGTTATCACAATCACTGTAAGATATAATTAGTTGTATATTATTTTAAACAATCATAATTTGAATATATAATTACATATATAACATATATAATTTGACTCCCTCCAATAAAACTTTAAAGAATTTCTTTTCGAAAATAATTAAGTTTTTTTATTAATTCAAACGTGAGGAAGTGGAATTTCACATTATCTTCAACAGAGGGATAAAAGAGTATATTTCTCTAGAAAAATTGAGCATAATTGAATTTCAACTCACATTATTAATTTTATTCACATTATTCATTTTAGAATTTGGAAATCTGACAGGCTTAACAGCTGATGTTTATTTAAACAAAAATGTATACAAGGTTGAGTGGGGTAAGTTCGTAAACGGGGAAAGGACGTATACCGGTTATTTTTACTTCCTGGTATGAAATAAGAGAAGTACTGTAATCGCGAAAAATTTCCGATATCATATTTCAACGAAAATTTTGAACGATGTTTTTGCGTGACATCTGTACGTACGGACACAATAAAGAACTCTTTTTTCCAAAACGGACTGTAAAGTGGATGCAAAACAGATTCAGAAGCAATTTTTTCGTGACGTCTGTACGTATACCTAAGTATATATGTATCTCGCATAACTAAGAAACGAGTAGCCCTGGAACGTTGAAATTTTTATATGGGACTACTATAACGTGTAGCTCTGCATTTCTCTTTTTTGTCGCAATCGGCCGCACCAAATGTATATATATCTATATATATACTCAGTCTATTACCCGGATGGGTGAGTTCAAACGTTTATTCTTATATTTTGGTAAACTGTGCATTTTTTGCTTTAAAAGTGATTGAATTGTGTTCTTCTTACGTTCCGGTTAAGGTTTTTGCGTTTTTGATTAATCTGCATGCAATAGTTGTAGAGTTATCAAGAATTTAAAAGTTTAAGTGGCGGTCCTGATGAGGCTGGCATTTGTTTACATTTGAAACTCTTAGTAGAATAATGAATTAATTCACTCGGTGCACCAATATCAGTGTCTTTTTACAGAGTGGGACCAAAAGTAAACTTTCAGTTTTGCACATCTAAAACTCTGTCTTCCTGCTGGCTGACTTGCTTGCTTTTGCGTAGAAACTTTAATTTAAAATATTTAAAAAAAAAAAAAAAAAAAATATTCAGATGTTTTTAACAGGGCTGTAGAGTCGGTAGGGAAAATGACTGACTCCGGCTCTGACTCCGACTCCTGGAGTTTTAATGACTCCGACTCTGACTCCAATTCGACTGCAACTCCCTCATATATGTGTAAACATATATACATGCGTTACAGCTTATATTTTTAATATAAAAGATGTAATAGACGCTACAGAAAAAAATGATGGCATGGCTAATAATTTATATTAATTAGCATTTATTATGAAATGGAAAAACTGGCATCAGTTATTTCGAAGAAACAGTATAGCTTCGGCAAGATTTTCTTTGTTGGAGGACCATAGATCCGATTTGATAAACCTCAGAGCTGAGAAGAGTCTTTCCACGTTAACTTGAGTAGGAGGAAGAGATGTTACTGTTAGGGCTACTTCTTCTAACTTTTCAGGATAGATTTTTATAAGTTCTAAAAGAGGTGTCTTGCAAGCGCAATCATATTTCTCTATTTCTTCAAAGGCCGTGTAGAAATTTTTTTTGTATTTTTTAATTTTTATATGTAAAGGCTCTTTTTTTTTAAAATTTTCATTCGCTTTGCTTTAGCCTTTTCAATATTATCCAAAAATATTTCTGAAAATCTAATTCATCAATGGAAAAGGATGATAGAGACTCAGTTGCAATGTCTGCGGTTTGACTGTCCTGATTCGAATTCTCCAATTGTTCTGATAATAATTTCATTCTTAATGAAAGCTCATAGATGACTTTCTTTCCTTTTTTAATTTGTTCGTGTTCGTATCTCCATATATTGAACCCAGCAAGATCTCATTGTCTAGCAAACTAGTTTCTCTTTTCTTCATTCAAGAAATGATTCCTTCTGCAATAAACCTTCCATTTCAAAAAGAACAAACATCCCATTCTCGCCTCCTGTCAATTCTTCAGATTACAGCTTTTTTTGTGGCTATATACGGTACAGAAAGAAGTGTTTCCAATTCTGCAAGATCATTCCACAGTCTTTTTGTTAGTGAAACATTAGGGTTTTCTATATCTCCTAAAAAAGTTCTTAATTGTAAAAAACCTCTTTATCATCAAATATGTACTTCCTTATCGCATTGCTTGATCAATAATTGCTCCTTTTCCTGCTCGCTTCCTAAGAATGGCATCAATTTTAGGAGTTCTTACTGTTATTGCTGCTTACGTAAATTTATCAGTGAGACTTGTAACTAAATGAAGTAACTAAATGAATCAGTTTAATCACTAATGGCAAATATCACATCCATCCTCCTCCCTTATATTTATTTATTAATAGGTCGATAAAATAGAAAATAATTATTTATTAATGTATACAGTTCATAAATAAAAATAATAACTCAGCTTGTCATTAATTTTTTTTCCCATTCATTTTAATTTCATTTCAAATTCAAACTGTCCAACGAAAACTGGAGTCGGAGTCGGAGTTGACCTGTTTTTAGCGACTCCAGCTCCGAATCCTTTTACCCCAAAATCTGCCCGACTCCGATTTTACAGTCCTGGTTTTTAACTATATTTGGTACTTTATATTTTTTTTTTATATTTTTCAATTTTTAATGAAGATGCTTTGAGTTTTTATATATTTTTGCCTTGTTGCGAAATGAGAATAGAATTAATTGAACGAGAAATGTATCTAATGATTTTCGAAGAAATACGTTTGAATGCAATGCAGCAAAAATGTGTATAATTTAATATGCCGTATAAAGAAGTCATGTGGTGTCCGTATCAGATATTTATTATAATACAAGCGATATTTCTCGTGCTAATATCTAGTAATCAACTACAAGTTAATATGAGCTAATTTGCATAGATGTCCCTCAAGTAGGTACGCTCTTGCCCCATTTTCGAGGGAAAATGCAGAGTAGTTAACACTTTGTGCATTAGTCTATCAAAATTGAAAATTTACAAGGAAACTTAGAATCTTAGTTTATATTAATTAAATAATAATAACTGTGCAAAGCGTTTGATACCGACAGCGTTAAACATATACATACCAGATTGAAAATACACAGGTTTAAGTTCCAATTTTACAAAAACCAGTCTGCACTTATCCCACTTCACCTTAAGTTTATTATTAAAAATTCTCGACATGACGACAAACATTTTGATTTATGTAAATAGTTCTTTTCTTATTATCACTTGCTAACACATATTTGGTGGTATATTTTGGTGAGCAAATCAAAATATTAGTTGAATATATAAACTAAATATTAGATTTAAACGACTAAATATTAGTTTTAATACATAAACTCAGTTTTTAGGAAAGGAACATATATATATATATTAAAACAAGTAGAGAAGAAAAATTAAATAAATAATTTCTTCGGATAATGTTTTCGTTATTACACAGGTGCTATTTAAAACCTGTCAAAATATTGGGTATATTTATATGGCAATCGTAAGAGAACGTTATGTTTTTCACTAGCATCACGAAACCACCTTCGTACTGCAAGAAAATTGAACTGAAAATTATTATTTAAAACGTAACCTATTGTCAGTTAAAATTATATGCAAAGTACGTTAACAGTTCATAACTCCTGATAGCTGAACATATTGACTACATAGCATGTTCATAATTTTCCCTACATGTAAGATGAAAACCATGTCTTATTAGTAAATCCTTTATTTGAGCTTTCATATAGAAGCTGTCAAGGATTTAGCCGTAATAAATTGTATACTTGTATACCTATAAAAATATTATATCTCTTTCAAAACTTCCAAATATTTCATAACTCTTAAAACAAATAAAATGATTATTGGTATGTATTTAATGCTGCAATTTCATAAATCAGAACTATATGCAAAAATTTATATTTTCTAATTCTGAAGTCAATATGAACATGTATATATAGCTTGAAATAAGAAGAGTCATCAGAGATAATTTTCCGAAGTCAGAACTAACATTTACAGTCCATAAATGTATCCTAGACTTAACTCATTCAATTAACGAATGGTTCATCTTTGGTGAATTTGCACGCACACGCAAAAAAGTAACTAACTACCTTCGCGCAAATACAAGATGGAAGAATATGTGTCAGATTTCTTTAGCTCAGTGACCTATGACACGTGTGTGATAAGTGACAATAGATATCATTTCGGATCCCGCATTTCCAGAGCAGTCGGCAGAGACACAAAACTGCATAATGCGAAAAATATTTGTCTCTTGCAAAGGCATCGTCATCGTCAACATGTGCTATGCTTACCTCGAGTGCATTCTTGGCAGACGTACGATTTTATATGTGACAGGACACCAGAGTTAAATTAGGGTTTTTCAGAATGTTAACACGCCGAGCTCGAAAGCCCTCATCATCCTAGTTGAATCTGACACACAGTTAAAATACATATACCTGCATACAAATTTTCTAGTAGGTGTAATCTCTGGAGACAAATAAACACGAGTAGAAAAATTATTTGGATCAGATTAAGACCTATTAATGTTGATATGAAATCATTTCATCTTCAAATTTATTATGAGCAATTTAAGCTTACATACGTAAGTCAACCTGAGCAAACTGATATTGCACCATTTAGTAAAATAACATTTAAGAGTTAATCGATTAAATTTCGGCTAAAATACGACGACAAGAATGCTTTTGATCCATAGCCGCGTAGCTGTCATTTATTGGAAACTGCTTTCAGTTATTCGTGCGCCTCAAATGGATTTAAATCCAGTCACAACAGGCACATGAAATAAAGAGCCATTAGCAATAGCAAATGAAATAACAAACCCTTTAGGTTATGCAATCAGAATACACGAATGAATTCAAAACAAATTTCAGTTCAATTGAAATATGACAAACAATTTAAAAATACCCCTGCCATATAAATCCCTTCATAGCATGTAGCTAAAACATTCAATCACGAATATTTTTCAAGAATTATTGTTTTATATCAACAATAATTGTTAAAATGAATGATTACCAACTACAATGCATGCATCAGAACAATGACAAAGTGATTGGCATATACTTTGGAAGCTGCACGAGCATGCCCCATACTTCTGCAGCATCGAAAAAATGGTCTAATCGGAACACGTGAAGTTAACCAAAACATGGCGAAAGAACCATTCAAAATTTCAGCTCAATAAAAACACGCGAACAAAGTCAAAAAAGTTACAAACATGTGAACGAACTTTGTCCCTTGAATAAACTTCCATTCAATCAAAATACGTGTATGAGTTCAGAAACTTTAAAAAATAAAACTTTCCCTTCTTGATCTACTTTTGAAAACACCATATCACGGCAAATTAAATTCGGCCTACTTCAAGTAAAAATGATTTTTAATTATTATCAATTAATCCTAAAACGAATATACTATAAGTCTGATTGCAACCAATTCCGAAATTTATCACTTACACGGGAGCGATTTGCTTTTCCTTACTAAAGGTTACTTAGCTTTTCGAAATTTATGTCATGATTTTTAATATTAAATCTCTTGAAAGCCAGAATACAAGAAAAGAGTGCGAGTTGCTTTATATTAATGATATTTGAGGGTTTTTAGACGATTTTCCAAATTTTTGCATCGTGCATTTTGTGCTAAATTCTTCGTTTCAGGTAGCATTATTTTCCTAAATGGCAATGCCAGTATTATAGCACCATAACATAATTATCAGAATACAGCCAGGAACACTTTCCGTTTCATTTAACACTGAATGCCTTAAAAGCAGTAAATAATAATAAGGTTACGACGTCTGCCACTAATTAAAGATAGAAGCAATAACTCATTTCTGTTGAAGATATTAATCTGCTAGGATACTATAATTTCACCGATGAAACTTTTCCTTTCGTGATTCGCAATTTCCATTTAAAAACTACCCCTGGAAGGTGAATGCAAGGAATAAACGTAAATACTTTTACTTAACTAAGCACCATTTTTAAGCATCTTCTTTCCTTCGAGTGCAGTTATAGAAGTTATAGCTTGTCTTGACAGTTCTCAGTGCATCCGAGGGGGATGCCTTAATATCCTTGTAGCAGTTTTCAATAATTTATTTTTTACAATCTTAAGTGTTTTGTTGCCTTTACTTACAGGTCCTTCATACAATGAACAGTAATTTAATAGAAATTTCGAAGGTTTTCATTATTTTTTTTAGATTTGATCGTTTTAACAATTTTATAGTAGTTTGCATGAAAGACCGATACTGAAAAGCCACATTTATGTGACTGAACAAGGCTGTTAGAAGCACCATTTTCAACCTCAAAGCCAGCCTTTAATAATATATATGCTGCCGGCATTTTTCTGCTCGCATTAGATATCACATTGTATTAAGCCTACAGCAGTTATTAATACTCCCTGTAAAATTAGAGTAAACTCGTACTGACTTAACAGATCTATTGAGTGCTGCTGCCCAGAGCTCATTACGGCTGGCTTTCAAGTGCTATTCCGAAATGATGCTCAAACAATAGTCTTCCACGAGGAGATTTACTTTGTGCATGAGTACCACTTGAGTATTCAAAGAAGGAATGTATGGCTGCTCTGTCGTGATGATGGGATACTTTCTTTTAAAACTCAGAGTACTGATTGTAAAAAAAGAGGGAAAAGGAAACACAGCGCGTTCCTACTATCTTCTCCTCTCTTCTGTTTGTGGTGGTAAACGTTCCTCGCCCTCTGGTATTCCGAAACAGTTGTCCAAGAAGCTTTCCATTGTTCTGTACAGATGAGACTTGACATTCGTCAAACCGTGAGATTCATCTGGATAAACCTAGAAAAAATATGCGTAAATCGAAAATATTCGGAAATATGAAATGTAAACTTCTTCAGTTAAAAATAATCATATTATATTTTTAAAAATTTGCAGGCATTTTTTAAAAAAAAAATTCAGTTGCTCAAATAAAAGTATGCTCTTTATGATTTATTTATTATCTTTTTTCTTTATGATCTATTAAAGCGGTAATTTCTAACTGTAAGGAAGCATGTCGGGGCGCAGCGAAATATTTCAGTATTTTTACTGAAATCACAGGTACCTCATGTAAGTTTAGAGTTGAATCATCAGTGTGAAACCACACTGATGCCTTGCTGAAAACAAAATTTGGCGTCATGGACTGATCAGTTGGCTGTCAATTAAGATCAATCATCAGTGTGAAACCACTAAGTTTTGCGTTGCTGAAAACAAAATTTGGCGTCATGGACTGATCAGTTGGCTGTCAATTTAAGCTACAGTAAGCAGATGCAAGCATGGAATTTTCTTTGTTCTGTATATGGAAAATTAGGTTTTTCGGAATCTGTCATAAAAAGTAAGTATCAAAAAAAAAAAAAAAAAAAAAAAAAAAAAAAAAAAAAACAACAACACTGATCATACAGAAAACAAACTGTGGGCGGTGTCCAGTTTAGTTCGGATATTTTAGAAGATTCAAAGAGGAAAAGCAAGTTCAGCTGCCCAACTAATTGCAATTAATTAAATAAAGGATAAGATAGTTTAAAATGTAGAGTCATTGAATATTTTAAGTGAATTATTTCTGAACTTAAAGTGTGTGCTTTATTAGCCCAAAGGGCGTTAACCCAGTAGGGCTATTAATCTCGGAACGGCATTTTGCTTCGAACCACTAAAAGCGTTGAATCACTTTTACAGTTGTTGCCACCAAATATTTTCGCCCTGCATTATATTTCAAAAAAATTAAATAATGAAGAATCTGCATGAATGTATGTATGTTTCTCGCATTATGAAAAACGACGATACCTAGAGCCATCAAATTTTGAATAACATACGCCTCCACTCGAACAAGTTCATCTGGAAGCCCTAATTTTGAATTTCGAATTTGGTTTATTATCTATTTCATGTTTTGTAAAACTTTAAGGAATTTTTTACATAAAAACTCAACGATTTCAAAGCCAGCAATGACAACACTGTACGGAATAAAATATTTTCATCTCTTGCGCACGAAACTGTATATCGGAAATTCTAAAGATATGCTGTTTTTTAATGTTTTTATCATAAAGGGGAGTTAGCCCAAATGCTCTTGAAACGTGTATGTGAGTGTAAATAAATAAATAAATAAATAAAAAAAAAAAAAAAAAAAAAAAACGCTCCTTTGGGTATAATATAGAATATGAAAGCTTTCAGATTTTTTATTACTTTATTTACCTAACTTAACAAATGTCTCTGGGATGTGAAAACATTTGGGAACTGTTAGATTAAATAACAAATATGCATTAAATCACACAGCAGTTACGAACTACTTTAAATTAAATTTGGGAAATAAAACATCATGAGGTTGATTTCAGAGAGGTTCATGAAGTACCGCAGTACGGTCATACAACAAAATGGTAATTTTTAACAACAAATTTTAAACATTTAAATAACAAAAAACGGGAAAATATTCTGCAGTTTCTGTGTCTGATTCAAGCATAATATCTTTTTGCCAGATAAAATACATATCAACGTATTTCATAAACTTGAATATATGTATTTTATCTTGCTCAGCATAACAGACATTCGTAAAAGCACATTCTCATAACTTTATACACATTTTAGCCGTTTTCTCACCTGTGCATGATACATTACTCCGGCATCTGTAATTGCCTTCATCAACATCAGAGATTGTTGAGCATGAACATTATCTAGAAAGGAAGATTGTTTTAGAAGTAGAGGAAAAAATATCAAATGCGCATTAGTAAACTAAAGATATACTAAACACATGAGAAAACGTACTAAAATAAAATTTTCCAGTTTCAATGAAATTTACGATAAAACGTGCAATGTCATCATTCGCTAAGTTTTGTAATAGAGTTTAAATGTTCATCATAATGCGATTTAAAATAATTAACTCAATTTTATTAGCGAATATATTTCACAGAGATAAAAGTCATTATAAAATTGCAAATGTTTCTGCTTGCATAAGATTTATTTATCTGTAGTTACGATTTATCATGCGATGAAAAATTGAACAACCAATCATTTCGTGTATTCAAGGGAAAAAAATACGGGCTTTCAATGGGGGGAAGGGCGAATAAAAATGTAGAGGAAATTTCGCTCCTGCTGAGAAAGGTTTTTCCTAGGGTGATCCCATTCTATTCTTAGATCTTGAAATTTCTTTTATTTATTTACTTTTTATTTGGGTAAATACAGAAATCCCAACTTCCAGAATTTCCAGACGGTATGACCCACCAAGCGGCCGAGCGGTAAAGTCTCTGAACATTGGTAGTTCTTTCCAGGGCTCGATCCCCGGCTAATAGGCTGGCTGCATGGGCGTTTTCGTAGTTTTACTCATGTGTATATTTCCTCTGTGTATAGGAGTCAGTTTCCCTTAGGAAGTCCTCCACGAAGGCATTTCGCCCCTTAAGCAGATAGCTTTCGAATGTCTTCGCCATAATCAAATAAAACAAACCAAACCAGACAGCATGATGCTCAGTGAAACGTAAGATAATTTAAGCCTTTCTTATATGTTTAACATTTTAACTATTGACAGATGTGTTAAGATATATCACAAGAAAGGTATACCTGCGTTAAACTTCCGTACAATAAACTATTGCTAGTTCATGTCCTGTCATAAGAAATATATATCTGTGTTAAATTCAATAGGAGGAAAAAGCGGTTACTAGAAAATTAAAAACTAGGTGTAAGTTACTAGAAAATTAAAGACTAGTATTTAACTAGGTGTAAGTAAACTTATTTTAGCTAATCAGTTTTGCAATTTCCATCGAAACAATAATGAATAATAAAGAACCTTTTCAAGGCATTTATGTTAATTAATCAATTATTTTATGTTACAAATTTTTACTTTCACTTCTCTCTTTTCATTTTTTCTGCCAGAATACAGATTTAGCTGTTGTGTATACAAGTGAGTGCTTGAGATTAGTCAGAGCGTGTTTCGCCTACTGAAAGCCACATTACTAGTTATTACTCTACGGTAAACACCCCTGTCTACGGCGTTGCTTTATCCTTGCAGATTGTGCTGTGACGCCGGTGTAGGTTAGAGCCAACATGAGCGTTTAAATATCTCTGCATAGCCTTTGGCTAATAAAGACTTTAGTTTAGTTTTGATTTAAAGTTCTACTTTTGAGTTCATGCTATAAATGCTGGCTGTTTTGATAGTACCGGGAGGAGTGCTTTCTGGTCAGCTTATCTGAGTTCTTAATAAAAAGGTCTTTTACACCCTTCTTACGTTTCCGTTTTCTTTCAAATTTGAAAAGTTACTATTGGTTTAGCAATTAGTTTTGTCCAATAACAGTATGTGAGTTAGAAAAAACTGAATCTTTATTGAATCGTTGTCACACATCTATATTATCACTTTTAGAAAATTTTAGAGAATTTTGTATTTGTCATAAAATTTTTTTTTCAGAATAAAGACAGTTAAAAGATGAAGTATGAGAAGAACAGTATGAGACATTTTGATTCTCTTACTCAGGTGATCTGGATGGAGAAAAGACTCGAGCAAAGCTTACTATAAACACTCGTTGCAATGTTAACTGTAAGGAAGCATGTCGGGGCGCAGCGAAATATTTCAGTATTTTTACTGAAATCACAGGTACCTCATGTAAGTTTAGAGTTGAATCATCAGTGTGAAACCACACTGATGCCTTGCTGAAAACAAAATTTGGCGTCATGGACTGATCAGTTGGCTGTCAATTAAGATCAATCATCAGTGTGAAACCACTAAGTTTTGCGTTGCTGAAAACAAAATTTGGCGTCATGGACTGATCAGTTGGCTGTCAATTTAAGCTACAGTAAGCAGATGCAAGCATGGAATTTTCTTTGTTCTGTATATGGAAAATTAGGTTTTTCGGAATCTGTCATAAAAAGTAAGTATCAAACAAAAACAACAACACTGATCATACAGAAAACAAACTGTGGGCGGTGTCCAGTTTAGTTCGGATATTTTAGAAGATTCAAAGAGGAAAAGCAAGTTCAGCTGCCCAACTAATTGCAATTAATTAAATAAATGATAAGATAAAATGATAAGTCCATGGCCTGGACGGCACCGCCTTTGAACGATGATTAATTATAAGGCCATACGCAGTTTTGGACATACGGCAAGTAACAAAAATTCTTTGTAACTAGTTGGTTAAAAATAACATTTTTTTTCAGCTTTTATAAATGATAGGAGATGGAAATTTGTCTTTAATTCGAAATTAATGGATAGAAAACTTCGAATGCAAGTAACTAATTGTTCAAAAATGTTTTTCATATGGAATTTCAATTAGAATTTTGAGTTAGAATTTTGAATTTGAATCAGAATTTTTATATGAGTTAGTATATTATGATGCTTTCTTTTCTTTTCCTTTATAAGGTATTTCTCCCGCCTTCTTAGCGTGCCTTCGCGGTATAGTGGTCTGCACGCTGGACGCGTATTCCAGAGGTCCGTACTATACACTTTTCTACACTTTTCTCCCGTCTCTACACTTTTCTCCGTCGGCAGGACAGCTGGTCCGCTTGGGAAAGGCGCTTGTTGGCCTGCGTAAGTCCCGTCGACGATTATGATTATTTCTTATCGCCTTAGGTCATGTTCTCCAAAGCCTGTCTTTTCAAGGGAAAACGAATGAAAGAATTAAAAACTGGAAAGTGAAATAATTATAAAGGGAATAACATTTAGGAGAGAGGGTGGGAAAAATGGGGTGGCTATGAAGCATTATGACTGCGTGCAAACCGATTAATCATTCAAATGAGGAATTCTTCATGTTGCCGAATTTATGGCACAGACACTAAATTTGTGATGAAAAAACATGTGCTTATGATTAATATTTTAAAAGTACATAGTCAAGTCATAAATATGCTGATGTGGGCATATATATATATATATATATATAATTATAGTATCTGTTTAGTTACATTAGTTAGTACAAAAATATATGAAGCCAACACGCCTAATACAAATATATAGGCATACATTTTCTGTTGAAGACACTATAAATTATACATAAATGTGTATATGTTACGGTGAAACACCGAAATCTGGAGAATGTCGACTTTCACCGGTGAATGTCAACATTCACATAGTCTCTTGGTGTATGTCCGAAATATTTTCCAAATACTCTTATTTCTGATTTACACCGGTCAATGTCGACATTCACCATGTACTAATGGTGAATGTTGAACATATAACAATATTATATTTTCTTCTCCGTAATTCAGTCGCGAATAAACGCACTTGAAACTTGAAATAAGAACTTAAGAACATGAGAACCTAAAACACACAATACATTCAAAATGAGAAAGGAAAATAATAGAAGTTAAAAACTTACTTAACATTATACAGTACGTTCTAAATGAGAAAATAAAATAACAGTAATAAAAAACTTACTAAATTATGTGATTCATTCTTATTTATTGCAACAACTTAAACTATTATGGCACTTTATAACCTCTCTTTTCAACTTTCACCAGAGCATATCCGTGATTGTCGACATACACCGATGAGGGTCCGAATATACAAGAATGTAGTGCAATATTCGATCTTTCACCGACGTATTTGGTGAATGTTGACATTCTCCGGTGAAAGTTGACATTCTCCAATTTCGGTCTTTCACGATAACATATACACATACGCTTTTCAAAATGCATAAGCTTGTTCAAATATTGATGCGACCATCGTTCGTACAAAGTATACAGATAGAAATTTCATTATAGATAACAAATGGATGTATATGTACAATAACTATTAAAATATATTAGCTGGTTCAAAAAATGTGTCGATCCAGACACTTCTACGAATCTACAGATTCACTAAAATATATATACTACATTCAGATTCTGCTACAGACATGATAAATTTGTAAATAAATACATGTTTTTTTACACACGAATCACTGGGAAAAAAAAAAAAAAAAAAAAAAAAAAAAAAAAAAAAAAGGTAAACTAGTCAAGCTATTACGTTGAATCAGAAACCTCTAGTATAGTTAAAAATATATATTCATGTAGTATATAAATATCATTGTGAATGCAATAAGTATATTATGATGCTACGGTACCATCCGCTGTTCCATGGATCAGCAGAAGTTTCTTGTCTTTGATATTTGCTGCTTTTTTGGTGACATCAGCTTTTTCATAGCCAATATAGTTGTCTGTTGACCAAGGCATTTGCATATATCGCTCGGAGAACACGGAATCTAAAACAAAAACGCATCATTCAGAATTATGTTATTTGTTTATTCATTCTGACTTTTAATTTCTTCGTAATCTGAAGAATGTTCAAGAGTTCTATTGAAAAAAAGAGTCATAAGCACATTATAAGGTATTTCTCCCGCCTTCTTAGCATACCTTTTTGGTATAATGGCCAGCACACTAGGCGCGTATTTGAGCGGTCCGAGGTTCGAGTCCCGGCGAGGGCACTGCTCATTTTTCACGTATCTCAGCATCGAAAATCCTAACGTTTCTATGGCGCCCAAACTAAACTGTGGCGAATGATGATTCTTTACCATCAGGATTTGGCGATTGGGTCCCCTAAACCCAATTGCCCTTTAAAAGGGGGAGTATATAAGGTATCTCTCCCGCCTTCTTAATGCATGCGTTCGTAGTGTAATGGCCAGCACACTCGACGCCTATTGGAGAGGTCTGACGTTCGTGTCCCGGCGAGGGCATTGCTTAATTTTCACGTCTCTCAGCATTTGTACGTTTGAATCAGAGTCATCTTAATAAATGTGAATGTCCTGGGCTAAAATATTTGGCGCATAAATCATATTGAACTGGACAATAAATAATGCATACAATTAATTAAACAGCTTCCATTGCAAATAATTTTATTTTAAAACATATCCATTTGAGCATTTTTATTTAATTCAATAATATTTGCATTATAGTAAAGTTTTGCATTTCTAAAAATATCCACAATAAGAGCAAAAACTTAAGAACACTAATTTTTATTTAAATTTTTTATTTTGTTCTTCTTCTTCTTTTTTATTCATCATTATCTATCTTTTCTAATGCTACTTTATGAATGAAAATTTAAATTTAAATTTGGGCTGTCTTAATTACAATCACAGATAGTTTTTAACTCGTTTTAAGTTGGACTTGAATTTCTTCCTTACTACAGTTGGTGCAAGCTATGATTAAATATATTCGCCCAGCTGTTGTACAAAGTTGTATCAAAAAGATTCTATACGATCTCTGTTTACCCGTCATACTCATACATCCAAGTTTCGTCACCGGTAATAATCCTCGACATGAAGGACGAATCATCCATGGAACGTTGACGGAGTTCTTCGCAAACTTCGATGTGGTGTTCCTCCTGCTTTTGGATCAGCAGCCTGAGAACGAAATTAGCAGCAAACGGCGCATGGTCGAATCACACGTGAGGATTGTCTGCATTATTCTGTATGACGCAACGACAATGGCAGCTGTGTTGCAGCTTGTTCTTCGACGATCATCATCCACAGGGGGATTGTCAAATGTTTCAACATTTTCTGAGGCTCTGCTCGTTGAAGATAGCCCTGATTTTCTTGTCGTCTTCCAGTGATGTTTTTCCGATCTTGAAGTGCGCATAGCGTTCGAAATACCTCAAACGACTAATTGCGCATCGCCGTATACTTGCTGAATCATGTCAAGCGTTTCTGTCGCGGATTTGCTCAGTTTTACTCAGAGTTTCACATTCGCACTTTGTTCTAACCTACTATTTATAATTAAATCGCAGATTAGGTAACACGCCCGTGGTCAGAACAGCAAGAGCTGCATAGCTTCCTATGTACACATGGCGATATCTGTTGGTACACTGACTTACGGAATTCGGTGCTCTCCATGCCTTTGCGTAGTCTTGCGTTGCTATCTGTTGGCGTGCTACAAAACATTCTGATACCACCTTGCACACTTGGACATTTTTATGGACATTTATTCGTGAGACAGTAAATAAAACTAGAGAAGAGTTAAAGATTCTTTATTACTCCAAATTAATTTCACAGAACTCCTCCGTGGAGTTTTACAATAATGCCTTCACTCGAGCTTGAACTCAAAAACTAAGAAATTAATTAATCTTAACTAAAAAAATATAGCCGAAGCTATCAAAATTCTAACAGAGTTTGCCCCTTAATGCTGAATAACAGTAAAGCTATCAAGGGCCTAAAGTACGGCCGAGCGTGATAATAGCTTAAGAGAGAATAGCCTAAGAAAGCGAATGTGCGCTAGTCAGAATCGCTGGTTCTCTCTCTCGAAGTCAGTAGAACTTCCAGGTTAAATACTTCTCTTCATTTGCATTCAAACGTGATTCTAATACTACGTTCTGGCCGGAAGTTTTAAGTTAAAATTCAGGAAGACAGGAAAGGAACTTTAACTAAAAATTTAACTATTAGATAAATTAACATAATCCTTACATGTTAATAAATTTATGAGCCTAAAACAAAAACATCCTTCAACTTTCAAACGAGTGAAGAACGAGTTTCTAATCTTCGGAGTTTTAGAAAGTTTATAAAACTCTGAGTTTAGAAGTTTTCAGCGAGTGAAAAACATAAAATGCTTTTTGGCGTTCCGAAAACTAAAGATTACAAATTGATTTCAGGGCATCCGTATGTTTCAGAATAGTGACAAACAGTTATATATAGACTTTGACAATGAATTCGTTATCAGGGATACTGAGGTAACACTGGAATTCTTAGCCTACAGCGAATTAGTGAACAGTAACTGTGAATGCAAACCCAAAGTACTATATGCAGTGGGATGACAAAAGTCCAAATGACGTGGTACTTATATTTATGAGTAATACCTAAATAACTTTGCGGTGTATTAGTTTTCTGTTCCTACCTCTTTGACGACATGATTCTACAACGTTTTAGATGTGCATTGTTATGAGTCTCATTATGCTGTAGGGATTTATATTTATTTTAACTAACAAGTCAAGTTTAATTTTAAGCTTTCCTGTAAGCCTTCATTCCCCTAATTGTCAATGCTAGAATATTTAAATCTGGTAGCGCGCGTGAAGGAATGCAAATTCTACCTTGAGAAGAAAAAGTTTAAATACCGAGTTTTAGAAAGAAAAGTTAGAGAAAGTTAGGCTATTACTGTCACCTCTGTAGCGTGAGCTTCTACTTTCGAAGTTATTGCTGGTTTACTTGGCATAACAGCATTTACTTTGATGCCACTAGTTTCGACGCGGTTTTAAGTAACAGTACTTTTCTGAGCCCTGTAGCTTAGTTTCTACTACTTGTGAATATCTTCGAATTTTTATTTTAGTTCTTGTGATTTGAGTTACCATCCAAGTGAGGCGTAGTGTGTTAGCGTCAAGCTGGACTCATTGTGAATTTTAAAGAGTGTAATAAAGGGTACTTTTAACCCTTCTCCTGTGTAGTTCCTACACGGATTTGCTACACGTACAGTTGTCACTTAGAAGATAAGCAAGTGGTTCCTACAATGCATCTATGTTGAATGAATTAAATTATTCAAAGTTTCATTATCGAATTACTAAACTGGGACATCGTGTAGATGCAAATGGCTTTGCTTCACATAGGACCATGGGTGTTATAGCAGCACTTTGGTGGCAGAATTATTTTCCGCCATTTTGCATTTGCATCAAATGGGTACTCTGATCTTACACCAAGAAAACTTTGGATATGGAGACATTTGAAATCCAAATTATGCATTGTGATTCTGAAAAGTATATCTGGCTCAAGAAGCTATTCAGCATGAGATTGAGTAGAATCTTAGGATAATATTTATAAGCAAGCTTGTAAAGGAGGCCACGTAATTTGTTCTTACGCACTTGCTAGTGTTGTTACATCAATATTTCTCGCGTCTAAGTACTAACGCCATTTATGCTTTTTCATTGTGCAGATAACATTGCGATGTGAAAAATTACGTGTTCCTGTCTGAAGCTGTGTTCGCTGTAATCATAATCAAAGAGATTCTTCAAATCATTCTTGAGAGCTGTACCATTTCCTCCGTATGTCTTGAATTTAAATTTTGATTCATCAAGCCTATGATCACTATCTGCTCATATTTTTCTTTATGATCATTCTATATATAGTTATTCTGTTCTGAAGTTTTGTACTGAAATTGGAATTTTAAGAACAAGTATTATATGGATGAACAAACAAATATTAAATATATTTTAATCGAAAGTTTCAGTTACGTACACGAAATACAAAATTATGTATATGAAATAATAACGCAAAATTAAAATTGATCGAAAAATAATTATGAAATTTCACAAGATAAAAGAAATAAATGCGAACAACTGACTCATATTAAAAGTACTGATAAGGTACTTTTATTCTCATCAAAATTCTTAGTGTTATAATTTTAAAATATTAAAAAAAAATATAAATGATTTCGGTTTTGATATTTTGAAATTATAATTGGAATGGTATTAGAAAAAAATATTTTTACCATAGTAAAGCCAGCTTGTAACTGGGGCTACTGCTATTCCACAATTGAAGACTTGGCTGTTGGTAGCTAGTGCCATGATAGTACTATAGCCACCGTAAGACCAGCCCCAAATAGCAGTTCGATATCGGTCGATGAAAGGTATTTCATTCTTCAAATAACTAAATAAAATAAAACGCAATTAAAGTAATAATAAAACTATATAAAGCATAACCACTTGTAAAAATATAACATGATAATATATCAAATCTTATAACCCCTTGTAAAAATATATAAAAGTATAACATGATGATATAACAAATCTTATAACCACTTGTAAAAATATAACATGATAATATATCAAATCTTATAACCACTTGTAAAAATATATAAAAAGTATAACATGATGATATCACAAATCTTATAACCACTTGTAAAAATATATAAAAATATAACATGACGATATAACAAATATTATAACCACTTGTAAAATATAACAAGTTTACTTCTTTCCGCATAAAAAAATGTTTGAAATTTACATTGCAACAGAATGAAATGTCATATAGTTTTCAATTAATATTTATTATAGGTGTTCTTCATTATTTACTTTGTCGCAGATATAGCATATTAAGTATAAAAAAGAAATTTTTTATTAAAGACATTTTTGGTCAGTTATTAAGTACAGTAGAACTCCGATTATCCGGATTAATTGGGACCTGACTCCAGCCGGATATTTGGATTTTTTCCGAAGAAAAGGTCTACATATACTTTAATTAATTACTGTATGTACTGTATATTGAAAATGGGAGAAAAAAACTATTTTTTAAAAAAAAGTGGTTTTAATTAATTAAAATGAAAAGCAACACTTTTATGTACATATGTGTGTTTAAGCTCAGAGGCCAGTATTATACAGCGTACTGTAGTGTACTTACAAGTGCTGAAAGTCATTGCTTGGTTCATCATCTGAACATCTCCGTCAAAGCAGGCTGTTTGTGTGTCTTTATCCGTTTTCGGGCAGCCAAGTCGAACATCCGCTTGACCATGAGAAGTGACATGCGGTCACACTCGGACTGACGCTCCATCTACTTCAACGCAGTTTCAAGGCCGACAGCCGCTTCACTAGTTGGTGATCCCGTTTCAACTTCGATCATTTAGGTCATCTTCTTCCTCGATACTTTCTTCTCTCACACTTTCAACAATTTCATCACCATTTAAAATTTAAAATCCAGAGTCTGACGAATTACACCCCATCTATTGTGCTGTATCGTCAGCACTAACATCTGAACATCCAGGAATTTTCTTCCCCAAGCGACACGCCATCCTCATCTTTTTCTGTCTCTTCCCTCTCTTTTTTTCTTAAATTCTGAAAGCGATTCGGATAGTTGGAGTTCGGATATTTGGAGTTCTACTGTAACATCTTCCACAGACCAACATACAGCCGTAACGTATCACAGTTTTATTTATAATACATATCATTTTATTTTCCATACACATGTCATGAATTAGTCCAGAATGCATGAGAATGTTCTTCACTATTTACTCTATTTTCAGATTCATACGAATTTGACAAGTAACTCCCGAATAACGTTTTTAGAGGCCGGCTAGGGGAGGTAGTTACTTTTGCTGTGCCAAAGCAATGGCAGAACGAAAAACATGATTCTTTTATTGCTGTATTATATTTTTACATTTTCTAGAAGGATAACAGAAATCGCAGTTGCTACATCAATTATCTGAATGCGCCTCATGCCGAATGGTTTAAACGTACAAAGCCTTTGGCTACCGTGCGACGAAAGAAGTAACATGTAAAATAGATAAGAATGTTACTTATTTATAAAAAAATTCAGTATCTTTGATTTCATGAATTTAATTTTGCGAATTAATTAATTAGTAATTAATACTGTAATTATTCGTAATGGAAAGATCAAAACGACTGATTTCTTACTGCTCTTATACATGCATTTAATGAGAATATGAAAACATATAATGGCATAAAAGTTTCATAAATAAAAACTAGGTAGGCCAATCTTAATACAATAAACAAATCTATCAATTGCATTCTCAATGAAGACTAAGTTAAGCATTTCCTACACTTTTCTCTAGTAAAAGTATAGGAAAAGTATAGAAAGTATCCCCAAATCTTCCTATACTTTCCGCCGGCAATAAACTTTAACAATCCTTTTCAATGCTAGATGTTTTCAACTTCTAAGTAATTGATTTATTTTTTTAAAAAATTAACATCATGTAATTAAAACTACCCGTATTTGTGTCCAAATATAAGAAGAACATGTATATATATATATATAAATACCTCGCAACTGCCAGCTGATCCTGAATTTCCGTGCTCCCTAACTGACGATAAATCTCATGTAAACGTTTATCCCCTTGGTTTCCACTGCCTCGTCCGTCTATCCACGAATAAACAAAATTTTTTCGACTTGCCAGGTAACTGCCCCAGTGGACATAGAATTTATCCGTAACCATTTGGCTTCCAGGGCCACCATACCTGTTAAAACATCAATGTTTATTATAATCACAATTTTTTATGATTCAAAGCAGTACAAATTATTAGGTTTCAATTGGTTTATTAACCAGTTATTTTATATTAATGTGCTTTTATGTCCTTCTCGTTTCCCATTTTCCTGGAAAAATCTAAATTTCGAGCGCGCGTGTATTCAAATGAAGTAAGGAGGAGATAGTATTAAAAGGAAGATTTTAGAGGGTAGAATCAGAGCGTGTTTCGCATGCTGAAAGCCACGCTGCTAATTTGACTCTCTTATGAGTTTCATTCTGCGGTGCTGCATTATTCTCGGCATCACGCCAACTTAGGTTACAGGTTTATCTGTGTCAGCCGTTATGCTAAATTACATTTACTTAGTTAAGTCAATTTCATTACCTGGTGCCTTGCAAGACCTAGCGATAATTCACTTAAGGTTTTAAAAGTTTCGTACATTTGGTGCTACCAAAAAACACGAGACTTCATAAAGTTGTTTTTCGTTTCCCAAACGTAATATATGATAGGGATGAATGTGCTCTTATAAAGATATCAGACATCAGTTTTTGAGAGTCTCTAATATGAACAGATTACTTCTAGCTATTTGCTTGAACATATTATGCCAGCCTTATCTAATTGGCGATTAAAGGCCGCATTCGTATACAAGTTTTATTTTTTCTGCTGGCTTATTGTTAAAACCGAAAGCAAACACAACTTTATAAAAAACATTTTGATAAATGTCAAGGCTTGGAAATTAATCAATATAAATTTCCAGATCACGTATTTTTAAATTGCATATTCCAAATGATCAATAAAAATGCTAAAAGAAGAATTGAAGACCTAAATTTAAATATTAAAATATTTGAGAAGAAATGCAGATAAGAATCATTGAAAAGGAACTGGATAGAAACTTTTTTTGAATTTATTTCTATAATACCTTTTAAATTTATCATATTGCAGGTCTTATTCTGGCGGAGGGTGTTTTAATGTACAAATTATTAAGTTAAATTAACAAAATCAAGCCTCATTAAAGTACTATTCCTTCATAAAAGGCACAGCGCCAGAATGAATATTTTGGACTTAAATAACTAATATTATCGACAAAGAAACCTTATGACCAATCATCAAAATGAGTTATCAGTGTGCATATCAAATAATAAAGACTTTGTAGTGCTATGACTATAACAAGATTTTTTTTGTGTGTTTAACATTTTAGCAAATATTCCTTTGACTAACAATTGCTGCAAAATAATTTTCTCTCTATCTACTTGCACACAATCTTTATTACATGTAATAACAACGATCTTTGTAACTATTGTAACACATGAAGAAAAAAATGTTTCGATTCAAGTTAGAATTACTGTACTATAAAAACGCTGACAGTCTTTTTAAAAAAGACTAAACTCTCGATAAATACATCGAGAAATTAATACCAGAAGCCTGTTGGAGAAGAGCATACAGTAAGGCAAACAAACTTTGGTTGTATCAACAAAAGAATTTAATACAGAATAAATATAAAACTAAAGCATACATCAGAGTAATTAAAAAATAGCAGTTTCAGTTTTTAGTGAGTTCAGTGTTCCTGGAAAAAAAATTTTGAAAACACTCACCGTAAAATAAAACTCAAAGATTTGTGGTGCACATGCATCACACAACATTGAATAATTACTATATTAAAGATATTTTCCAATTTTAGAGTTTGTTTAAAAAAGAGTTCTCATGAGAACCTTTAAATAATACTACAAATCTGAAGCAAATAAATACTGTTTAAACGTTTTCAAACACCTTCAATTTTAGTAAGAATGAACTAAGAAGAGTTTTTAAACTAGGTCACAAATTTGCCAAATACTTTAGGTTAAATAAACACTGAAATAATACAAGAAAAAAGCTTAGTTATTGACGCATTATTTCAGACATCATTTAACGGTAATTCAATTTCCCAATTCCATAAAATACCCATTTCCTTGACTGTAACTAAATAACGATTAAACTAACAAAACTAGCTGATTCCAAAATCCTTAGAAATCTGTTACACAACAAAGTTGAATATTACAATTGAATGGTAAAAATTTAAGTAAAAAATTTAGGAAATAAATATTTTATAAAGATTTTACAACCATAAACGGTGTTTACGCCATTTTCTCGTTCTAGGGTTGGCAACTTTTATAGAGGTTGTCTTTCATCGTGCTAGCCTAAGCCCATTATATTTTTATACCTTCTTGTACGAAGTAAAGAAAGTATTGTAATGGTTAAAAATTTCGGGTATCGTACGTCAAACAAAATATCCATTTTTACGACTCTCGAATCCATTTCAACCACGTTTTTACGAAACATATCTATGTACGGATAGAATAAAGGACTCCCTCTTTTTCGAAAACGGAGTGTAAAATGGCTTTAAGAAGAGACTTTTTCATGACGTCTGTACGTACATATCTCGCATAACTCGAAAACGAATAGCCGTAGAACACTGAAATTTCGTATATGGACTGCTAATTACATGTAGTTGGGCATCTCTCTCTTTGGTTGCAACTGGTCACACCAAACATTTGTATACACACACTCTGTTACCCGCTCGGTGAGCTTAGTTTTTTATTTTTATATGTTGGTAAATCGTGCATTTTTTGCTTTAAAAGTGATTGAATTAGGTTGTTTTTATGTTCCGGTTAAAGTTTTATGTTTAAAGTTAATTAATCTATAAGGTGTTTTCTACCTCCTTCCAGCGTACCCTCATGGTGTATTGGTAGCACAGTCGGCTCGTATTTAAAAGGTCCAGGTTCGGGTCTTGAGCAGGGTATTGCTCATTTTTTGTGTCTCCTTCTTCCAACTAATATAATGACTAATAGATTTTTATGCAATAGTTGTAGAATTATCAACAGTTTAAAATTGCGCTAAGCCTAACGAGACTGCCATTTGTTTACATGTGTAACTGTTAATAGGATAGTGAATTAAGTCAGTTAGTGGACCAACTTCAGGGTCTTTTTTCCTAGTGTAATCGAAAGTTATCTTTTAATTTTGTGTACTGAAAATGTCGTCTTCCTGCTGCTGGCCAAATTGCTTATTTTGGCCTAGAAATTCTAATTTTAATTGTAAAACTTTTTTAAATGTTTTTTTAAACTGGATTTTGTGTTTTAGGTTTTTCTATCTTTTACAATTTTTAATGAAGGTTGAGTTTTTATATATTTTTGCATGCCGCCATGTGAGAACTGAATTGATTGAGTTAAATGTATATCTGTAATGAAATTTGAGGAAATAAGTTTAAATAAAGTGAAGCAAAAAAAGTGGATAGTTTAACAGGGCGTGAAAGGAAGTCATGTTGTGTCCACATCAGATATTTATATATAATAAGCGTTGAAACATATATCAACGTGATTTGGTAATAACAGTTTTCTAAGTATCGAATGTTTTGATATAAATAACAACAAATGTAAAAACTACATTTTACAAAAAGTTAAGTCCTTTAGTTTATTTTGAAATTCTACTACGGCATCCAATATTATTAAAAGTCCAAAATTGTTTATTAATTGGTTTGAAAAACCAAACAATTAAATCAGTCACATATAAAACACCTTATTAAAATTTGAATGTGAATAATCATTTTGTTATTGATTTTATTCATTAATAAATTATTACGATCCTTGTTTTTGATTAACCATAGGTAATTGTTGAAAATCAGGCAAGTATTTGACCACTTTGAGCTTCATGCAAGCTTTTGAATAGGCAGCCTTGCAATTATCCTGTTTTCTTGTGGATTCAAAGGAGCTTTCATGTGAGAGAATATTTGATTACTTGTATATATTGACCTAAAAGCGGATAGCAGAATAAATACAATTTTATTTTTTACATTGCAGCCGAATGCAAATGAATCTTTATTTTTATAAATCTGCGGATTTCAATGACTCTATTGTCACATCATCTCAAAAAGAATTGTACGCTTTTGTTAACAAGACCTTAAATGTTTTATAAGGTCATAATCCTTGTGTTTCAGTTCACTAAATCATGCCACTGAAATTTTTTCCTTATGTGCTACACTCTGCTCACGAACCTCAGGTTGGTCATGTCCGGTCGATTTGTTAGTTATGACGAAAATAAGTTCTATAATATGTCACTATGCGATTTGAAAAATGCATGCATGCGATATTATCGCCATGCGATGATTTGTAGCGCGGTATTTTCGACGAAGGTGTTTTCTAAACTGCGAAGTTTTTGAACCGCTTCATTTTCGACCACGATATTTTGTACCACGATATTTTAGAACTGCTATGCTTTTCTCTTTACGATGTTTTGTACCACGACGTTTTCTCCTTGCGTTGTTTTCTCCGCAACGTTTTCGTCCGCAATGTTTTCGGTTGTAACCGTTGTAAAGAGTCACTAATCCTAATTTGAGAATTTCTGTTTTGATCATATATGAGTTGTGTAGGGGATTTTATAACAGTTGATGTTTCTACCAAAAGACTAAAATTGGTTGTGGTTTCAATTATTTTCTTTTTCCGACATTTTCCCACATATTTAAACATAAAAATAGCACTTTAGTGGCGCCATTTAATAAATCAGTAAATATCTGAAAGCGGTAGATCGTATACTACAACTACACAAATTTTTGTTAATTTGAGATAATCTAATATACTCCAGAATTAAATCAGAAGAAAAACACGCCAGCGTAAAACTTAAAATTAGTAAACAAACAACCTTGTATTTGGCGTAGATTTAGACAAAAACTGTTTTCCAGACTTGCAAATTTCTTTACTCCTGACGAAGAGGGATCTATTCGCCTTCGAAATCGATTGAATTTTTTTGTTTAGATATAAGCAAAACATAAGGTTGTTTCTTTAACTAATTTTAAGATACTCTAGAATTCTTTAGTACACGTTACAGAAATTCTGGCTTCCTTGCCCTCAGGATTGGCTACCAAGCTTGCTAATATTGTATTGCATTGAATTTTGTGTAAACTAAAATAAACCTTGGGACACGGATGAGGTTATGATTTAAAAAATTGCGCACCAAAGTCTAAAGTCTCTAAAAAATATTTTTTTCAATGGAGGTCACTTACACATTTATCACCATTGGATACTTCACCATCTCTTCGTCTCTGAGACCAGGAGGTAATAATAATCTAACGTTTGCATCTGTAAAATGTTAAAAAAATAGGAGATACATATATAGATAAATAGAAATGGAAAGGATAAGTAAAATAACAAAAGCTTTCAACTTATTAAAAACTTTTACTGTAAATATTAGAGAAGCCTTATCTCTTTAGCTGATAGCATTTTTTAAAAATTCGAAGTAACTAGCTACATCAACAAGCTTTTCAGCTCAAGACGATGAGAAGTTTGATTGATATGATACTTAAATATTGCATTAACACGGAGAATTCAATCGCATATTTTCCCCACGATATTATAGAAAGTAAAATATTAAAAATAATTTATTCTAATTATTATTAATTATTTATGCTAGTTATTGTTAATTACATATAGCAATTACAACTGGAAATGTTTTTTTGCACCCGAAACTTTGTAATACACAGGAGTACGCTTGATGTTTGCATGATTTCAATATGGCCGACAGGATATACTTTTGAATTTTTTGAAACAATATTTCCTGAGTATCAGTAATTACAAGCAATCAATGTATCAGTAATTACAAGCAGAATACGTGTCACTGAGTTAGAACGACAGAATTATATGTAATGAGCATTGAGATATTGATTATTGGAAGGTATCGATTATTTGTAGAATCGATTATTTGCCACAATTTGTCAATACGTACAGGATAAATTATCTCTTTCAGTGATCAATCATTTATACAAGATAACTGGACAGTATTGGGATACAAATATGTGAAAAATAATAAATATGTGTCAATACGTACAGGATAAATTATCTCTTACATGTGATCAATCATTTACATAAGATAACTGAACAATACTAGGATATAAATACATGAAGAATAAATTCTTTTTCAAACCTCTTTCTAATAATTAAGAAACATTTACAAACATTAAATTTTTATTTAGACATACAAATACAAATTTAAATAAAAAGAAATGCTGATAGATACAATTCAGGTCTAGACAAGCTACTTTACATTATGAAAAGAATATCTCTTGGACCTTGGCAATCAAGAAGCTCTAACAACATTTTCATTTTCTGACTTTTAGAATTCGAAGAGCTTGCAATAATGCTGAGGTAAATTTTCTAGATGACAGCAAAAAATTTGATAATAAAACTTACTTCTACACTTTTCATTTTTCATGTATAAATCTTACAACTATCGGCATTGTTAATGCAGAGCTTATTTTTGCAATACGAACAAAATTTTTATGCTTGAAAACTATAAAAGTTAAAAACGTCGTCTACGTAAGCTTAAAAAAGCGTTTTGATTATGAAAATGAAATACGATAAAAAAGTTTAATTACAATAAATTAATGCATACTTGAATCAAATACTTGTGAACATTTGGAGGGTTTTTGATTTCATTTGTTGTATCGCAAACGTTTTTAATAAGTATAACAGATTTAATATAAAAATCTGAATTAATCTTTGAACTTACTGTAACCTCCTTCTATAGGCACATTGAAAGTCCTGAGTTGTGGCATTGCGGTCGTTTCGATACTGTTTCGGACATTATCATTGCTGTCCATCAAGGCCACTGAAATAAAATGCAAAGTCATTGAAATTATTTAAGAAATCTAAAAAAATGTTACTATTTTGTTGACGCTAATAGGGTGGTAAGCTATGAGGCCGAACTACTAGGGGAACGGACAAGCTGTATGGCTGGTTTTCGTGGTTTGCGTGAACGTGAACATGAGCCAGTTCTCTTAGAATACCTCTACGAAAGCATTGAAGGATAGCCCTCGTATGCTTGGTCATATTTTTTGAAAGTACCTAATCTTTCTGCGGAAGCATCATTTCGTGTAGAAAGATAATTGCCTCTAAGGAACATGAGGCATATGTTAGAAAAAAGGAAACACAGAAGTCTTCTGTTGCCCAACATTGTTGGTCCGAAAAATCACACTTTCAATTTTTCTGCTGCCAAAATTATTCAAAAAAACATCTTCCATTGGTGAACTGGATTTTATAGAGGCATTTCACATTCAAAAAAATCTTTCTGTTCTAGTTAACGACCCTCATTCCAATCCATCTTTGCCTTCAGCCTTTAAAGAAATTATGTTTTAGTTCTGGTTTCATCAACAGATGCGCCAGTGGCTTACCTCCTGTCCAGGCTTTCTTATCTTATCTAATCATTATATCTTATCTAGTTCATTTGCTGAGGATGATGGTTCGGTAATACCATCGAAAATAGCCCTGTGAAAATTTGAAAATATAACGCTGATTTTTGTTGTTTGACTTCTAAATTAAATCCTTTCTTGTTTTGTTATTATTAATAAAGCCAAATTTTATCTTGCATACTGTACTACTTTGAATGATCTATCAGGCTTTTATCCGATTCTTATCATACATGTTTTCAAATAAATATTATTTATTATATTTTTAAACATCATTATTGAAATAATTCAGTTGCTTAGGATATCTGGATTATTAAACCAATTCTTACAGATATATCAAAGATCACACATTTTAAATATAAAGAGAAAATGTATTGCAACAATTGATTTAAATATATATTCATATCTTTCAATATCTTACGTCTAGTATGTCCGTCGGTCGTTCGCAAGTCTATCCAAGGCACTCCCGGACCTAGGCACTCTAAAATGTAATACTTGGAGCCGGGACTGAAAATTGCATTATGGTATGTGCAGTCGTCACCTAAATCACATGTCAGGCACTCTTCGGTTCTGGGCATATCAGATTCCATATCAGTCACAGAGAAAAGATGCCTTTGACTGGGCTTATCTGGTAGTGTCGTTAAATAATATCTGAAGTATAAAAAGAGTAAGCTTTTGAAACACATAAGTTCAAAACAAAATACTAATAATAACAATGTCAAAATGATTTTAGTCTTAACAAAAGCAAGAGTTCCAGCTATTATGTTTCTTGTTTCGAAATTCATTAGAAATAGATCTATCTATATAATATATATTAACAATTTATCATTTTTATGTAACTGAAACGTCAAATCATGAAAAATGTTAGAATTCGAAATTATATATATATATATATATATATATATATATATATATACACGTATATGTTAGATATCAAAAGAAGTAGAAAAATTTATTACCATATTAAACTTAAAGTGGAACGGTCCTTTAAACTCTTACATTTAACTGGACATGTACCTTCTTCAATGCTCCATATTACATTATTCTTTCCCTACAGTAACTTTACTGCGAAATCTTTTGTCCATACGCTGTTCAGGATTAAAACAAAGACTTTACAAGCTTATAAATAGTATTGTAATTAAGTACGCATGCTCTTTCACCACTTGTCCTTCCTACTGCCAACGTGTCGCTTAGACCCTGCTTGTTATTTTTCTCAGATGACATTGCGCACCTATGCGTTTAGCACCCATAGTGTTCTACCAATTAAGAAGACACGTACTAAGAAATTCGTTATTCCAATAAATAAATGATGTTTAATACCAAACTCGTGCTTCTTCCAAAACTCCATCTGGTCATACACTTCACCGCAGTTTTCAATAATCTAAGCAACAGTTTTTTTCGATCATGATTGAAAAGTGAATTGGTGCCTCCTCTGATCAAGCTGTCTTCTAATATCAAGTTATCTACAACAAAATCTATGTATCTATATATTTATGTATATAATCTATGCATTGTTTATGTATGGGATTCTAAAAGTGAAATGCTGTTGTTTTTGCTTTGTCCATGAATTTCATGGAAGATTGGTTGCCACAGCCTCAAGGAGGTTGGACTTCTACTTCCACCTCAATTCTCAATTCAATAACACCATCTCAATTTACCCTATGCGGTGCTCTTCCTCAATTCTGAGGAAGAGCATCCCGGAGGGTGTTCCCAGTGTCTCCCACCCCTCCATCCTTTCACCAAACTGCACGAGAGAATTTTGGTTCGCCGTATATTTAGAGTGCCCCAATGCTGCAAAGACACTCCCGGATTAGATTTACAAACATCCGTGCCTTCTTCGGGAATCGAACCTAGGCCCTTCGGTACCACAGTAGGCTTTCTTAACCACTATACTGTCTGGGAGGCAAAAAGTGAAATATGTGGATTGGTTGAAACACATGAGTATGCCCTGTTGTGTATCTGTTGTGTTATAATTCATTCAAAACATTTGAATTATAATGTGTTCAATGAGCTTTACTTAACAAAGACAAAAGTATTGTGGTCTGTTACTAGGAATAGCAACAGAAATTTGACACTAACTGTGCAATAAAAATTTAAATTATGTTGGATTTAGATCAACATTACTTACAACAAAATTCTATTATTATTCACAAACAATATGCGTGCAAATTTGAGCTCCATAGCATATGAGGAAATAGTTTCAAAATCGATAACAAATTCTTTACCGCAGCAAGAAACATTACATGTGAAATAAATAAAAGCTTGTAAAAAGAAATTGAGTGCTAGTTTTCATCAAGGGAGAAAATTAGTGATCTTTCGGAAATTATTAGAAACAAAACCAAGCAACTACTTGAAAACTGAAAATTAAATTCTCTCATCGCAACTCATTAAAAATTACAAAGAAATTCATTGCATATTATTTGAAAATGTAAGAAATTCCAAAATACTACAAAACAAACTCTTGAGAATACATCCAAAATTTTCAAGTTCTGATGAGAAACATTTTGCACATAGAAAAATCATAATTTTGAACGATAGAAAACATTTTACTCTTCAAATTCTGCTACCATTGAAAATGATGTGTTTTATACCATGGACTCTGATAAATCTCAAACAATACGAAATTCGGTTCAAAAAAGAATATTTGAACTTAACTTGTTGTAGGGAGCATAAGGATGATTATATAATCTTCTGCCAAATTAGTTCTAATTATATAATCTTCTGCCTAATCTAGTTCTAAAGTATTAGCAATAAAGGAAAACTGATCATATAAAACAGCATTTTACCACTAAACGAAATACTTAACTAAATGTTTTAATGGGCTGCTGACCTGAAATATTTTGATGACGCCATCTCTCAGAAAAAATTTGCAAACGATCAAGAATAATGAATTGATACTTTAACATTTAACAGTACACAAACAATTTTAAAGTTAATGTTTAAAAACAGAAAAAAATCGCAAATGATTTTGAAAATTTTAACGTGTAGGAATTTGTATTATTTCTTTTAGTTTTTTACGAGCAGAAAATCAAGCCTTTAAACACATCTTAACAGCATTAACTTTATAAAAGCAAACTGAAAATACTTACACTGTGTTATTCTCACGTTGATGAGCTAAAACTTTCACTACATCAAATTGCCCATGTGTCAAGAAGGACTTTCTTCCGCTCTGAAGTAAAGATTACGTAGTATATCAAACGAAAGTGAAATAAAAATCTCAGAATAAACTTATAGTAGTAAATTTAAAACTGACATGATGTGTAAAGCAAATAAAATATAAGATATCTACACTAATTCTTTTGCTGTTTTTTTTGTAGTTTTTTTGGTAAGTTTTGAATTTTAAGTTAGATCAATATGATTAAAATTCATTTAAATTATTCTTTATTTCCTGCAGCAACGCAAAGAGATGCATTATTTTCTCTTACAGCAGCATAAAGAGATGCTCCACAGTATCGTATCATTTTGCTTCCATCCATTTATCTTATTTTTGAATCTCAAAGTATTACAAAAGTAATTTAGATTATCAGATTTTTAATATACAATTGTAACAGAACTATTAGGACCTAAGTGAGCTATTTCATCGAACGCCATGTAGTGGCAACGAGAACAACTTACAGCAGACGAATTCCGGCTGCGATGAAGATAGCTGCGATCTTCATAGCAGCCGGAATCGCAGCCGGATGAAGATGGCTGCGATTGCTACAATATTACGTTTTCGTGACTTGAATGTTAATTCGAAATGTTAGGTGTTTTTGTTTGGTGTATGCTCTATTTCGATGTATAGTTTATAACTGTTTCTGTACTCTGTTAAGAAATACGTTTAGAGCTAGCCGGTGTTTGTGCTTATGAAAGAAAGGCTACACTCATTTTTTAGAGCTTTCTTGCAATAAATTAAATAACCGTGTAATGAGCGGAAATAAATTATTCTATAGCAGGGGACCAACCTTTTTCTCCCCAAGAGCACATTCTAGAATATTTGTTGGACAGCAGGCACCATTTACTATTTCAAGGTGAATTTCAGGGCCAGATTTAGACTTCATGAGGCCCTAAGCTATTTGAAATATGGGGCCCTTCATCAGTCTGTTATATTATATTTATACTATATTTTAATTTTTTTGGGGGCGCCAAGAAAGTGGGGGATCCTATGCTATAGCTTGTATAGCTTATACGTATATCCTGTACTGGGGAATTTATAGTTGGATATAGTTAATAATACATGCAACAAAAATTAAAAAAAGAGATCGGTAGCATTTTGCTTTGTTCTGTGTTGGATGAAATTTATATTTCATTAAAAATTAGAAAATTTAACATAGAATGTTATTGAAAGCTAAAACATTTGTATTGTGAGCGCACAATAGCGGGCACACGTTGAAAGATCGGCGGGCGCCATGGTGCCCGCGGGTATAGGGTTGGGAACTCCTGCTCTAGAACGTATGGAGAGATTATAGTTCCTTTCACAAAGTAATAGGATTGTTTTCTAAAGAAAGTTTCCTTAAGTGGTATCTCTTAATTATATTGTATTTATTTCTTCGATAAAATAAGTAGAACTCATTTTACACACAAGAACATGAAACTAGGCCCTGCAGAGGAAGAATGTCGTTTTATATCAGCAAAGTTTGGATAATAAAAGCAAAAATAAAATTCAGGAAACTAAAGGGATTGTAGTTTACCACGAATAGTGTGTGAAACTAACGTTTGCTTAGAATTTGGGCAAAATGTGTTAAATATGACGTCTGGGATATAAACGCTGTGCATTTATGGAAGAACGGTTACACAATGTATTTAAAAGAAAGATTTTTTAAAATCATATTTTGAAGAAAACACCATTTTGAGAATAAATCTTTTTTATTTCAAGAATGTTTTTTCTTATTTTGTTAACATGACAAATTTCTGTCATTTCTCTGAAATAAAAAACATATTACAAAAGATGTTGGAGAAAAATCTCGAAGTTAAATTACTTACACTAGCATTAACCATGGCAACATGTCTGAAATAGCCTGCTTTTCCGTCTGCTAATGGTAGGCGAATGAAATAGAACCCTTTATTTTCCCCAAATACAGGCTTGTCCTGAATGTCAATCCAACCACGGTTTTGCGTATCTCTAGGGAGATTCTGAAAGAGAACAGAAATAGCTTTCTTATTTGCTTTAAGGATTAGTTTAGTGGCTGAGGGCAAATAATTGCGTTCTATTGATCTTGTATCAAGACGAAGACAGCCATCTTTTGCTCATAGTAATAGGATATTACCAGCGTTATCAAGATAAAATCACAAAAAATGCTGTGGGTTCTTAATAAATATATAGCTAATAAACTAAATAATTTTTACGTATTTATAAGGGTTAGCAAAATTCGCTTAAAATGTAATGTTTTGCTTAAAAATGTAAGCGATTTCTGTTGAAATACTGCTGATAAGTGAGTCTAATATAACTGACGCAGTATAGCCCTAACATAGATAAGGAATCAGTTATATAATTACTATAATTTGCTATGAGAAATACTCATAGCATAGATTCATATGCTTATATATCAGTAAATTTCCGAAATTTCATTTCTGCAACCTCTAATAAATTATTCCACACTTACCAAGTAAACTCAGACGTGAAAAGCAGTGCATTAAATCTTATAACTTCAGTAATTTTTAGTCACATCAGCGAGTTTACCATATATACTAAAACCAGATTTCCTTGCATTAATTTATAGAGTTTGGCTTGCTTTAGTACCATAAACTAGTTTCAGATTCCAAACAGACGTAAAGCGAATTATCGATTAATCGTCAAATAATTAAATTTAAATCTAAGCTGGCATAAAAAATGTAACCGAAATATCAAGTTAAATGTCGGCAGCAATAACGCAAAGCCGAATAATTAAAAGCTTATCAGCTTATCAGAGTTGAAACTATGTAACGTGGCCACGAGTGAGGGTAAAAAGTATTCGTGGCCACGAGTGAGGGTAAAAAATATTTTGCTTTACAATCCAAATCTTCAGCTTAAATACTTTGTAACTCAGTTTACGTTCTGGTGAGGAAACGGAAAGAAGTTATAGTAAGGGTTGAAATTATAAATAATTGGTTAGTTTAAATAATAAACCTTTCAAAGTTATTACCGGAAAATATTCGTAACATAATAATAACAAACTAGTTACAAATTAAATCTTCCAAATTTTGCCTTTATTGCTTGGAAGCATGAAGTGTTAGAAGAAATGAAGCAAAGAATTCAAAGGATTGAATTTAACAACAATTTACCATGGAATTTTCTAAATCCTCTAATACAAGATTTGAAGCAAAAAGTCGTAATCAGCAAAATTGATAAAGCCATCACAAAAGTAATAATTCATTATTTGAAATTTTTTTTATGTCTCACTAGTTGATACTGAACTGAATAATGCCATTACTTACAAAATTACCAATACACAAGAAAATGTCATAGCAAAAAAGCTTAAACCAATTCATAAGAAACTACAAATTACACAACCATCTAAATGCAATAGATTATACAAATCTTTATGCTCTTCCAAAATTCCATAAATCACCACTCAAATGTAGATTTTATAGCAAATGGTACAAATAATTGTAAAACGAATATAGATTACATATTTGCAATTAAGCTTAAAAATCTGTATTTTAATTCATCAGCTAATTAACAAGCAGCACAACTATTGTTGGATTATTTATAATAACGCTACAGTTCTCAACAAATTTAAAAGTTTAGAAATTAAGAACATTAACTACTATGACTTTGAAAACCTTTATACTTCTTTACCATTGGATGAAATTTATACTAGTTTAATGCAACTCCCACAACTTTTTCCTGACATGCTTAGCATCCTCTGAATTGAAAGATGGAAAACTTACCTGCAATATGCATTATATAATAACTATATTAAATTCAATAATAAAATCTTTCAGCAAGTGAAAGGAATTCCAATGGGAGCGAACAGTTCTACGCAAATATGTAACCTGTTTCTTTTTGCTAATGAATTAAATTCCAACTTAGTTTGAATAAGAAACAATCGAAAGTTATTTGCAAATACATTCAGATACATTGATGATATTATAACTTTCAATAATAATTCTGCTTTTGAACAATTCAAAATTTACCCAGATGGTTTAACACTCAATAGAACTAATACGAATCAAGATAATATTGAATACCTAGATCTTCTCATAATTAAACACAATAAAATTGAATTATATGACAAATGGAGGACATTCCAGAAACTATTAAACAAATTAATTGGAACTCTATATCTCTCACTATATCTAACTCTATATCTCTATATCTCTATATCTATCTAATAGGTAACACTTTTCATAGCCAAATAATTGGAATTGAAGATATTTGTACTGAAAAAGAAGATTTAAAGGAAGAAATAATAAAACTAATTAATGTTCAAGTTAATAACCAGGTCCCAAAACATTTTACTAAATTCTATATTAAAAAGGCAGGCATTAACTTTTCTTTTTAATTTTTTAACTCTTTATGGTATGATAATATTACCTTAAACCTTAACTGGAGGGTAATGGAGGATTTTGAAGAGTTAAGGGATTACTTGTAAATATTATTTTGTAAAAATGTATACTTTATCAACAATGGATTCTTTCCTTTTACTAATGAGGGGCCAACTCTTTTCATATAGCCCGAATTGAGTGAAGTTTTTATCTAATTTAGTTTCCTTACCTTTGGTCAGTATTTAATTAAAGTTTTGATTAAACTTCAGTTTTAAAAAATACAGTCTAGTACAAAAAATTTCTTACAATAATTCTCTATTTCAATTCGTAATTTTCTAATTCAAATTAATTCAGTTAAAATATTAGAGTTTTTATTTTTACTAGAATAATTTATTCAAAACCATTTTTTCAAAAACTTTTTACATCTTTTTTAGTTTGCAACATCTATTTTCACAAACAGTAGCAGTTCATAATTTTTACTTTTTACACGTTAACATGACTCAAAGTTAGCAATATTTTTGCACACAAAACAAGCATTTTACATTTTAAAAATTTACAGCATAGGTTTTTACAATAGCTCTCACAGGTAGTAGCTTTACACTCAACATTACATTGTATTAGAGCCTTCTATTTTTAGAGTTAGCAGCTACAAACTACTCAACTCAACTAGTTTAGCAAAGGCTTGTACAACTCAGAAATTCAAATATGTAGATCTAGGTAAGTTAAATTAAAATTTGCTATTTATTAGCCTTTTTATTATTTTTGTTATTATTTTTATTTTAATATTTTGATAGTTGTGTATAGTTTATATTAGGTTTACATGCATAATTCGTGTTGGGAAAGTTTCCATAGGCAAGAGTTTCTAAATTACTTTGGTTTTCTAAAAAATTTGATTTTTTACTTTTATTGACTTTTAATTAATTTTAACTCTAGTCATTTAACATTTTGCGTGTTATATTTATTTATTAAATATCATGTTTTTCGCACTTAAACCACAAAATTCAGTTCAAGAGCAATATCGCAAAATAGTTTTAAATTGAGCATATTTTTAGAATTTCCGATACAGAGTCTCGCGCGCTGGAGATAAAAACGTTTTTTCTGTAGAACGCTGCCATTGCTCGCTTCGAAAACGTTGAGTTTGTTACTCAAAAATTCGTTAAAGTTTTACAAAATATGAAATCGATCATAAAACAAATTCCAAATTTCAAATTTGGGCTTCTACATGCCCATGTTCATAGGAGGATTACGTCATTCAAAATTCGATGGCTCTACGTACTGTTGTTTTATCACAATGCGAGAAATATGCATACAGTTATGCAGATTTTTCATTATTTAATTTCTTCATACATAATGCAAAACTCTAACATTTGGTGGCAACAGTTTGAAAAGTGAAACGGACATTTATAGTGAACCAACGCAAAATCGCAAAACGAAAACAAGAGTCTTTCAGGGACAAATTTGGACTAATGACAACATGCGCTCGTATACGCTGTTTCAAAGTTTCAGCGTCACAAAAGCAATAGAAGCTCATTGATTCCTTTTTTAAACCCCTCCCTCAGTGGCGATACTGATGTGCACTTTTGAATTATTCGTATCGAAGGGCCTGGGTGCGGAACTGAGTCAAAGTCACCTATGGTGCTCAAGGCTCTTGCCAACGACAGCCGCATTTGGCACAATGAATATCGTGGGTTTGTGCTGACCGTATCCATCACTTATACTTTGTATCGTATATCATATGTATCGTATCCATCGTGGGTTTGTGCTGGCGGACAAGTGAGATTGGTAACGACAACAACAGTATATTAGAGCATACTACGCTGTTTAGAAAGGAGTATTTTCGTGTAGGATGTTTTAAGGCAAAACTGGATTATAGTTTAATTAATGGATCGTAATTTTAAACGGGTAAACCATTAAAAGTCAATGTGTTCAGTCTGATTATGCCACTTTAAACCTGCCATGGTTTTGTAACTGTGAAGCTGTACAGAACTTTGGCCTGCCAGCAGGGCTTTTGCTAGAATCATATGTTTTCATATAATAAACAGCCATCATCTCCTATCGTAAAAGGTAGCTGCTAATGCTTATATTATTTTCAAAAGCCGTATTTAAAAACCGCAATCCACGTGAATTTAGCGCAATAGAACTACTTCACCTCAGCTTTTAATATATAAGAAGGTTGACGAGCAGATTGTGGTTGCCTGGTTTTCCGCATTTGCAACGTAAAAATGAGCTAATTAATCTTTGAAAGCCTTTATGCATACTTCCCCTAGACAGAAAACTCTCATGTGATTTACCATTATTAATTAACCAACCAGCCATAAATAGTTCTTCCCGATAAAATTCAATAGCTATAGGATTTATTCAGCCGACATAATTATTCTACAGAAGGCACAAAATATTACGATATGACTATCAGGTTGAATAAGGCTCAGTTTGTATGAAAGTAGTACGTAGCCAAAGTTGATCTATTTGTAGTTGTGGCAATTTAGCGGCAAATGCTCTTTGCTGAATTTGAAACGTTACGTGAGCTGTCTATTTATATGTTGAAAAAGTAAATAACTGGGAACTGATAGTCCATAAAAAAAGTTTGAATTTCCTAAGAGTGAAGAAGATAAATTTTCGAGATTTATCGCTAAAAGAAATCTAAATGGGAAGAATGGGAAAAAATAGCTGATATAAAGATTTCTCACATTGCGTTTTTTATGGTTATTTATTTATAGACTAACGGGGAAAGATAAAATTTCCTTTTTATGGATGAGCTTCCTTTTTTCAAAGCGGAAAAAAGGATTTAGATAAATTGTTGCATTCCTAAGGTGCAGAATGTCACATATCCCCGTTTTATTCCGGAAAGGAATAAAATCATATGTATTGTTGAAATCGAAATAAAAATAATTGCATTAGCACAATATAGTTAAAAATCAAACAAACCAGAGGAAAAAAATTAGCTGAATCTCAAAACATAGGAATAAAACTTCTGGTAAACAACGATTTAATGAAGAGCTGTTATAAATACTGAAAAATTATTTATGCATGTTTTTTTAGATATAATGAAATTACTATGCAGCGAATGTCTCACTCTCTGTATTTTTTGAATAAATTCATTTAAATTAGTTATCTTTAGAATACTGAAAATGACTTATTTATTTCTATATGTGACGCCAGCGATTTTTAGAAAGCTGATTATTACTTCCTTGTACGACGTAAAGAAGGTATTCTAATCGCGAAAAATTTCGGGTATCATATTTCAACGAAGGCACACGAGCGGCCGATCGGTGAAGTCCCTGAACACTGGTAGTTCGGTCCGAAGTTCGAGTCCCACGAACGTGCTGGCTGCATGGGCGTTTTCGTGGCTTTCCCCATGTGTAACGTGTTAATATGAGCCAATTTCACTTAGAAAGTCTTTCACGAAGCAACCCTCCATTGCGTGTAGAGCCTTAAGGCGTAATTAATAATATTTCAACGAATATATCCATTGTCACTTCTCTTGAATCCATTTGAGCGATTTTTCTTTACGTGGCATCTATAGATACGTACGTACATATATATGTATCTCACATAACTCGAAAACAATTAGCCGTAGAACATTGAAATTTTGTATATGGGACTACTATAACATATAGTTGTGCACCTCCCTTTTTCGTTGCAATCGGCCGCACTAAGCGTTATAGATATACCAAAGTATAAGTGACGGCTAGACGTAATGTGGCGGCTATTGGCTTACCTTTCAAACTCTTAGCAGTACAGAGAATTAAGTTAGTTATTGCACTTTAGTCTCTTCCCCCCCAGTGGTACCAAAAGTTAACTAAATTTAAAAGACCCAAAGGGCCAATTAATATTACATTACCGATAATTAATTATTATTGCAATTGAAAAGTGAATATAAAACAATAAATTAATTTAAATATTAAAAATATTAAAATATTTATTAATTCTTGATGACAATGATAAATGCGATCACAAAATATTCTAGTTATTTCATTAGAAGTGGTTACAAAAAAACAAAACTTACCTCTTTGATTGCACATTAAATATCAGGTATACAAACTGCATTACTTAAAGATGGCCCTAGATGTTAACGCGATGTGGTTTTCCAGTGGCACAAAACAGAATATTTGAATTTTTAATTTAAATTAAAAAAGGTTTTTTTTAATTAATACATAACTTTAAAAATATATTACTTAATAAAGCATCGTGATGCAACATATAATAAAAGTATAGAATATATTATATTAAATATCTTAAAATTATTTAAATATTTTTAAATATCAGTATTAAAATTTGCAGAAAGATTATTCAAAAATTCAATAAGAAAGAAAACTTTAATATAATCATTTTTAGAAAAAAAAATCACTTGATACTCTTTCTTTACAGTTTTTTTCAGTTCCTTCAGTTAATCCGTCGTGTTTTGCTTTTGATATACCTAGTTTATAATACTCCTGCGCGTTTAGTTTTGCTGAATTCTATTAAAATTTGCAGAAAGATTATTCAAAAATTCAATAAGAAAGAGAATTTCTTTAATATAATAATTTTTTAGAAAAAAAAATCACTTCATACTCTTTCTTCACAGTTTTTTTCAGTTCCTTATGTTAATCCGTTGTGTTTTGGTTTTGATATACCTAGTTTATAATACTCCTGCGCGTTTAGTTTTGCTGAATTCTAGCTGGAAATAGTTATCTAATTCAGACAGAGGACACAGGATATTATTCGCGGGAGAAGTCTTTTGCCACCTCGCAAGGAATACATTGAAAGAGAAAAACGCATCACCACTGACGTTAACGATAGAATAAATCAAACATTCTCATACACAATACACAAACATACATTTCTCATACAAAATGTTGCATTATAGATATTTTAAAATTATGAATGATTCGATGGATATACATGACACTCACAAACACACACATTTAATAATAAAGAAAACACCTTTTAATATTACCCAGAATGTACTAAAAACATTTTCGAGGGTCCCAAGTTCTTAAAAAAGTCGAGGGAATTTTACTGCTCAATACATAATGTCTTGCAGATTCCCATGCTGCTGGTGGAGAAGCCCTCGAAATCAATTGAGTTCTTGACTAATTCTACGCGGAACACAAGGTTGTTGGTTTCCTAATTTTACATATATACCTGTTAAGCAAATGTACCAAACCATAATAGGTGAGTATAAATATATATACGTTTGGTTCTGCCGACTGCAATAAGAAAGGGAGGTGCACAATTAGATGTTTCTAGCGGTTTCACAAAATTTCAAAGTTTGACGGCTAAATGTTTCTACATCATGCGAGATACATACATACGCATGTAGGTACTATTACAATTCGTTTCGAAAAAAAAAAAAAAAAAAAAAAAAAAAAAAAAAAAAAAAAAACCCTCTTATTCTGTCCCCACGTTCCGTACATGCAGACGGCAAGCGAAAACACTCGTACAGATGGAATCAGGAACGGTCAAAAAGGATATTTACTTTGAAATATGACAGCCGAAATTTTTCGGAGTTACAACACTATCTTTACTTCGTGAAGGAATAAAAAAAACAGTGATAATAGGCGTAGATTTTATTTAAAGGAAGCGCTTTCAGCCCGCCTTTAGGTGCCAGTCATTGGGAGGCAAGTACCGAAGACAGAAGTAAAGGCTCAGTTGTGTTATTTGTCTTGAATTTAGTTGACAGGAAAGAATACTTGAACCACTTTAGCTGACACTAATGGAAAACCAAGCACCAAAAAGAAAAACAAAGACTCGCTTGTATCTTTCAATTAACCGAAGTTAAAAGGCAATAATGTTTGGATCTCTGAAAGCTTTTCTGCTAAAATAAAATATACGTGAATTATTGCTGATTTTCTCAAGACTCAGTTTTACTTGGAATTTTATTCTTTCCCATTTTGGATACAACATATTTTGCGTGTTATATAAGCATTAAATTTGTTAAATTAAAATTTAAGTATTTCGCTGCTTTCAAGCAGAACATCAGAAATTTAATTTACGTAAGCTTAAAAATTGATCATTGTCAAAATATTTCTACAATTCTTTGTCACCAAGACGAACTTCATCTCAACTTTTACGGAAAAGGAGCTCCCAGGAGTGAGCTGAATGACGAGAAGAGAAAACATTCAGCCTTAGGGAAATAAACAGTGCTCAACTCAATTTAAGTTTCTTTTGTACACTCTTAAAGAATCTCTATTTCTGAACCTTCTTTCCTGGAAGTAACTAGTTAGCTAAAGCCGATTTAGTGAATTTTCACCACTGCCTTGTTTTCGTTTTAGCTCATTTGCAATCAGAACATGTTTCAATTTACCAATGAATTCGAATGTCTGGATTGTCAGTCAAATTTATTTGACATTTTGAAACTTTTCTTTTATTTCAAGAAATATTGATATAATTTTTTTTTCAAAGTTCAAGTTTTGCATATTTTCAGTTCTGTACTGCTTATTTCAATGCTTCGTTTAAAAAACAGTTTTTGAATTTACAGAATTTTATTCCGAAACTAAAATGAAAAATTTCTTAAATAATGAGATAAAAGAAAAGCCTCTGATGTGAATATCGCATGACTTCCTTGTACGGCTTTTTAAATTATACACATTATTTGCTGCATTTCGTTTAAACTTATTTCCTCGAATTTCATTAGAGATCTATTTTTCAATCAATTAATTCTGTTTTTACTTTCCGGCAAGACAAAAACACAAATTATCTTCATTAGAAATCGTAAAATAAAATATAGAAAAACATAAAACACAAAATACAGTCAAAAACAGTTAAAAAAATTACAATGAAAATTAGAGTTTTTACTTCAAAACAAGCAATTTTCTAGCGGGAAGGACGACCAAATTTTCAGTGCACAAAACTGAAAGTTAACTTTTGGTCCCACTGGGCAAAAAGACACTGAAGTTGGTGCACTAACTTAGTTCACTGTTCTACAAAGAGTTTCAAACGAAACAAATGGCGGCTTCGTTAGGCTTAGCAACACTTAAACATTTAAATTGCTGATAATTCTACAACTATTACACGCAGATTAATTAAAATCTTAAAAACCTTAACCGGAACACGAGAACAAAATAATTCAGTCACTTTTAAAGCAAAAAATGGACAATTTACCAACATATAAGAATGAAAAGCTTGAGCTCACCGACCCGGGTAACAAAGTGGGTATATATATAGGTTCGGCCGATTGCAACCAGAAAGGGAGATGCAACATTTGACAGGGCAAGTTTCGATGGTTTTACGGTACCATCAACCTCAGCTTCCGAAGTGTAAAAGCATTTTAAATAAATAAATGTCAATAAATATTTATGTACAATAAATACTACATACAAACTTTATAATCTGATTTACGATCCGTATATATTCTTTCGTATGCTTTTTCAGATTAACCAGGTATTTGTTTACTTTAGGTTCAGTTCCCTAACAGCCGGTTAATCGGGAAACTATTGTATTTCTTTTAAATTTGATGGAAGCAAACTGAACAAAGACTATTCTGAAGCTCATAATAACTATATTTAGACCATTTTCTCTTATAACTAATTAGACAAGCATCTTCTTTTACATGAACATTGTAATATTAAGTAACAGAAAAAATTGTGATGATCTTAAAAAAAAAAAAAGAACCTTGCAGATATTACCTTGTCACAGAAGTAGATGAGGCCGGCTGAATCACAGATTGATACTAAGGAAGAGTTTTGGAATCGCTTCAACCACATGACGGCGATCCTGGTCTCCGTCACCCACTGAAGTGATGTGAAATAAAAATCTCTAAAAGAGTAATAAGTCTTTAAATTATTATTTGCAGGAAGAAATAAAAAGGAAAGTATAGCAACTTCAATTTATTTTGCATAAATTTCATGCCAAAAGTACTACTGTGTTCAAAAGGTTCGATGAGAAATCATGTCACGCTCTTGAAATTTCTAATGTAATTGAAATGTTGTTTAAGACAATAAACATACTTTCTACAGGACAGGGCAGGAACAAGTACAGGGGGCACCACGCCATCGCCATTGACAAAAATGGTATAGCCCCCATGCACTACCTCTCTAGCCTACGCCCCTTCCACAGGGGACCTGATTACGGTATACATAGGACATAGTACTAGCAACAAATAAGACATAGCACATCATACTGCTACAACATACTTTCTACAGAAGAAATGTATCAAGTAACATCCTCAGAGACAGCACAGTTTGTGTTGTGTCCAAATGAAAGTAAAGCATCTATCAAACCATTACGCATGATGTCGCAGCAATGGCCATTACGAATTTCTTTCATCAAAATCAGATCCTTGCAGAGCCGCAATTGTTTCATTTAACATATGCCGCTTGATTTGACCTCGCTGTTCTCTTTTAAAAGGATGGCTATACAAGGCAAACGTTTTGAAACCCCCAAAATGACGATACGGCCAATCTGTTGTCAAGTACTAGATGCATTCTATCAGTGTTACCAGGGATTGTTGAACAAAGGCGTGTATTCTGATGGACGATACTTTGAGAGAGACAAGAGTATAGATAAAACGTTTTATATTATAAGCAAAACTATTCTAGAGGCAATTTCCGCCAAAATTTTCAATATGGTAGTATTGCAACATGTCATATATCATATTTCGATACTTCTTTGTTATAGCGGTTACCGAGATTTAATCACTAATCAACTCGCCAATTCGAGATAACCTCGCCAAAATCTTGCTGCGTGTTCTTGTATCTCGCCGTATGATCGTATTTAGCAGCGGTTGCGTATGCTTGTATCTCGCCACGTAATCATATAATTAGCACCGTGTTGGATTTTTGCTCTCGCCGTGTGTTTTTTAGCGTAGAGAATTTGAAAATGCAAAAATCCCAAATCCCCATTTTTTTGGAAGATTTTTGGCTTTCAACACCCAAGGGAAACGTTAAAAACTGCAAAAAGAAGAAATAATGATTGGTTGGTTTCGTTTTGGAAATTGGTTCAATGGCTCCAGAATATCGTTCGTCGCTGTTAATAGATTTATGTATTCATGGGTGGAGGAGATGACGTCGATGAAATAGTGTAACAAACAGATTAATGCTGTAAAAGTACTGGAAAGGGAAAAATTACATGCGATAAAATAACAACAATGATGATAAGGATTCTTAAAAATATTCTTAGGAAACGACATGTGAGTATGATTGTTATAAATCGTGCTGTTTACTTTTTCATTCGCATCTCACGAGCTTGGCGAAGTCATAGCTGAGATCTTGGGGCAAATCTAAAATCACCAAATAAGGTTGGGAGCCGCTTTAACAAAGAAGTATCCACACATTTCTTATTCATATTTATTTACTCAGTCTAATGCAATCCGTTCATTTATAGACAGAACAGTCACACTGAAGCGGCCGCGTTCAATACATATATGACAATTTAAAAAAAAAAATTATAATTATTAGACACATATAGTTCGTAAGTATTAATAATTCACTAAGCTTGACAATTATATCTTTCATACTTTTAGCATAATTTTTTGGTCTATGCTAAATTATAACCTACAAAGTATCCGTGTCGTGACTTTGATATAATTAATTCGATTTATAGTACCAAATTGTAGTATTTAAAGGCAAAATTCAATAATACTACTTAAATTGCTCTGGATCAAAAACTGGCCCTCATTCATGCTAAATTCATTCTTCAATGCGTAGTTAAGAATTGAGGTTAGATTTTAAAACTTAAATTGTAAAGAATAAATATATATTATTGGTTCAGTGCAGCCATATTAAAAGACGTAACTAATTATTTTATGAAAAATTATATATCTTACGAATGATATTAACAAAATCATTTCTTTAACTATATAGAAAAAAGTAAACGATAAAGAAAGAAATAACATTATTAACTGACACATTTGTTTCCTTTATCGTCACATTCTAGCTGAAAAAAATTCCCTTCCATCTGGATAACGTCTATGTTAGCAAGTAAAGAAGAAAATAATGTTAGATGCTGAATACCATTTTGGGAAAAAGAAGATCATTGAATCCCCGCTGAATGTTTTCAGTCGAAAAGAGAAATGGCAGAGCATCGGTGGCGTAAAAACGGTAGTAAATACGAGAAAAAAATGGTTTTCACTCGGGAAAAAACAGCTTTTTTAAAGGAAAAAAATAAAGTTAGAATAAAGAGCAGAAACTTTAATAGGCTAGAAGTTCATGTAATAAAACAAGAGTGCATTCTATTAAAAACCTAGCGAAATAAAGTTCTAAAGAAAGTTGGTATTTTAAAGTGAATCTATAATTTCATGTCACAGTCAATTTTCTTTATATAGAAATTCTAATGAAATCGTTTTTCGGATATATTGTGTAGTTGTAGCTGCTAAAAGAACATTTAATGAAGCAGAACGAAGAACGTTAAAGTAATCTTACAAAATTCAGAATTAGTAATGCCCTATGATACATATAACTGAAATTTATCTAGCAATCAAAATTATCCATTATTTCTGTAGGCACATATAAATTATTCTTTAGTAAACATTTTAATAACATGACCTTACTGCGTACATACATCTTTTTTGGAGACACATTGTAATATCCTAGTTAAGTCTGAGTTTCTTAAGAGCTAGGATATTGGAGAACTATGTAGAGACTATTCGCTGAGTTCTGTAAGTGAGAAGTATAAAGAAGGGGTAAATTACCCTTTATTTCAAACTCAAAATAAATGAACATGGTCCCCGCTTAGGGCTTATAATAAGGCTCCACTTGGACTTTACTCAAGCTAGAAAATATAAAACTAATCTAAAGCTAACTAAAACAAACCAGCCGAAGTTATACAAAAATCTTCTACTGAAGTGACCCAGACTTCAGCTTAAATACTCGTTTCTACCTCATTTACATAAATTGAAATCCTGAAAACTCATTCTGGCAGCGAAAGCTTGTTCTAAAATAAAAATAACTATTAGGAAAATAAAGTCAGCCCTACAACATGATCAAGCCAGGAGCTCTAGAACAGGTTGTGATCCTATATCGATGCTGATGGTATGTCGATACCTTAAATGTGTAACAAAGTAATCAAATTTTCTGACTCTGGATAATGCACAGATGGCAATTATAAGCTTTGTGTGTACGAAATACTAGTGCTGACTTGCACGTCGCTGCCGAACTTTCACCGTACCATTCATATGATGGCCCAGCCAACGTAGTGTCCATCTTAGGTTTTGTCAAATCTGCATCGTATTACTGGTATACCGGTATGGATTACATACAGTGTCCGAGTCGAATCTATGTTGACAGGGACAGGGAAATGGTGACTGAGCACCAGAACTTCGTCTATGCATTTACAGGCTCCATCGCATTATTGTACTAGGGCAGCATCCATCACGGGGCACAGAGCACTGTGTCGGCATTATGCAGTGTCGATCCTGTCTCTTCTACACAATGTCGAAATTATGAACAGAAACCAATTATTCAACACAAAGGTGCAAAATAATTTGCCTTTTGTGGAGATATCATTGTTTCGCTTATAAGGCATTTCTCCCGCCTTCCTAGCATACCTTTGTTGTGTGGCGGTCTGCACACTGGACGCGTATTCCAGAGGTCCGCGGTTCGATCCCCGGCAAAGGCGTTGTGCATTTTTCATCTTGCCTGTTTCCAAAAAATTCCTAATGTCTCTACAATCTTCTCAAAATAAAACTTGCTTTTACATTTCAAATCAATCAAAGCTGAATTTCATAAGAATTAATGTCCAGACTAGCATGAGCTACATCTTCTGAAAAAACATTATATAGGAAATAAGGAAGAGTGTGAATAAACTTATAGAAGCGAAAATCTTATAAATAATGCGGTTTTTGTATTTTTCTTTTATTTTTAAAAATTAAGGTTCTTTATCCTCTGCTAAATCTTAATAGTTATGATGGGATGTTACACCAAGATTTACTGAAAGTCCTCGTCAAGCTCAACAAATCTTCCAGGAAGAAGCTTGTCTTATAGACTGTAGTTTCTGGCTCGGAATTTCTTAAACCACAGGGATGACACTAGCTTATGCATTTTGCTCGATTCTCATATACTGCACTAATATTCCTATTAAAAATTATTTAATTGCACTCATATCTCTACTAAATCATACGACGCAAAGTAAAATGCGTCGTATTATGTTCCCTTGTGACTTAACATTAGCATTGAAAAAACTCTTAAAATCGAATTGCACTCTTCAAAACTTATACTAAGAATAAGAACAAGGTAAAATCACTACCTGCTTTAATAGCAAGTTGATGCAGGTAGTTTATCCTGCTCCCTTCAACTATTTCAACTGAAAAAAACCGCATTATTGAATGAATAACCCAATACAAAAAGATACAGATTTATGGATGCTTATGTGTAAAAGGCTTAATTAGATGAGCGTAGATTTTGTGAAAATAGTGAAATGCATTTGAGGCAGTTTCTAGGAGAATACTCATTGCCCGTCAGAAGATGTACAAATACCAGAAAAGGTTAAAAGCTGGAAATACAAAGGCTGTTCGCACATTTTTTAGACCACTTTCATTGTATTTACAGAAATATTTTACGTAAACGTTTTGTGTTTTAAATGTTCCATTTGATAACCCTTATTCTTCACTATCTTTCTACACCATAATCTTCAAGACAATAAAGCCTTTTTTAGTATTAAAAAGTATTTTATCCCATTCCTCTCGGAAAAATTTGCAAAGTCCAAGAAAGTTGTAAGTCAAGGTTTGGACAATTCGCTTTTTAAAAGTCCAAAAGGGCAACATCCGTGGATGATACATCAGAGGATTTAGTAGAGATATGAGTGAACGATGTGGTCTTGAT